ACACCTCGTGATTCTAACTTTACACCTCGTGATTCTAACTTTACACCTCACGATTCTAACTTTACACCTCACGATTCTAACTTTACACCTCGCGATTCTAACTTTACACCTCACGATTCTAACTTTACACCTCGAGATTCTAACTTTACACCTCGTGATTCTAACTTTACACCTCGTGATTCTAACTTTACACCTCGTAATTCTAACTTTACACCTCGCGATTCTAACTTTACAGCTCACGATTAAAACTTTACACCCAATGATTCTAACTTTACAGCTCACGATTAAAACTTTACACCCAATGATTCTAACTTTACACCTCGTGATTCAAACTTTACAGCTCACGATTAAAACTTTACACCCAATGATTCTAACTTTACACCTCGTGATTCTAACTTTACACCTCGTGATTCTAACTTTACACCTCACGATTCTAACTTTACACCTCACGATTCTAACTTTACACCTCGTGATTCTAACTTTACACCTCACGATTCTAACTTTACAGCTCACGATTAAAACTTTACACCCAATGATTCTAACTTTAAACATCGTGATTCTAACTTTACACCTCGCGATTCTAACTTTACACCTCGTGATTCTAACTTTACACCTCGTGATTCTAACTTTACACCTAATAGTTTTGTAAATATGACTGTAGGTAACTTTAATAATGTGATGTATGTTCAGAGTAAAGGTGTTTTACCTGGCCGCTGGTTCTCTGTGGTCAGTATTTCACATATAGTGTTGTAAGTGAGGAAGTAAGTGGCGAATGAGGGTCCGTCGCGCAGCGCTAAAGCAGCAGACCCCTTATAGAGCCCCAGCAGACCCTCGTCCCGTGCGATGCGGAGTAAACATTGTACCGGACCACGGTATTTACTGCTGGACTCTTGGCTGATGTGCTGAACAGGCTCCGTCTGACACTGAAGACGCACCTTCACAATGTCTGCAGGCGCCATCACCAACACCTGAAACGTAACGAAACACAACACACACACATACACACACACTCATTTATCAGGGTTTCTACTATACCCTAAATGTCAAACTAGCTGAGCTTTCAGTGCCTCACGTCAACTGGCTAAAATACTGAATTTCCATCACCTATCCACTAATGTCATCATAATAATATCAATAAGCCGTGGCAGTGACCTGAGTGACTCCTCCAGTGAATCCGGCCAGGAATATGTGTGCTTTGTGATGCGGCTCTCCAGCGCTCCTGTGCTGCAGCTGATGCAGAAACTGCAGGATGTTCCTGTAAGTGCCGAACACCAGAGACGAGCTGATGGAGACGGTGCTGATGGGCATCGACATGCCTCTGTAGAAACCCCGCAGCTGACACACACACACACACACACACACACACACACACACACACACACACACACACACACACACACACACACACACACACACAGAGAGAGGGTTAGTTCACCATAATACTGTTGCTGTGACCATTCATTCATTCATTTAGCCGCAGCTTAGTCCCTTATTTATCAGGGGCCGTCACAGTGGAATGAACTGCCAACTATTCCAGCATATGTTTTACACAGCAGATGACCTTCCTGCTGCAATCCAGTACTGGGAAACACCAATACACACTCATACACTATGGCCAATTTAGTTCATCAATTCCCCTATAGCTGGGTCTCAAACCAGAGACCTTCTTGCTGTGAGGCCACAGTGCTAACCACTGAGCCACTGTGCCGCCCTGCTGGCAACAAACCATTGTAAAGATTTCTCTCTACTCTGACATCTGGCAGTTTGTAGACTTTCTCGCTATTCCAACTTTTCTTCTCACAGTTTTGACTGTTCTGACTTGTGACTGTTCCCCTGGTGATTCTGACTGCTCATCTCACAATTCTCATTTTGTATCTCATATTTCTGACTTTCTATCTGCAATTCCAGCTTTCCATCTCACTATTCTGACGTTATATCTCGCCGTTCTCAATTTACATTTACAATTGTGATTATTTATCTTACAATTCAGACTTTTGATTGTGCAATTCCCGGGAGTACCCGGAGGACACCAACGCAAACTCAGGGAGAACATGCAAACTCCACACAGAAACGCCAACTGAGCCGAGGATCGAACCAGCAACCCGGCGACCTTCTTGCTGTGATGTGAACGTGCTTCTTTTGTAATATGTTACACTTAAATAAAAGTATGTTGTATAAGATTTGTTTTGTTATCTAAGTACTGAAAATTACCACATACATCACGCGCAGTCCACTTAGCGCAGCGTTTGTGTCGGGTAATACGTTTCTACCAGCAGATGGGAGTGGCCACTGCACTTCAGTCATTCATCATTTTGAGAAGCTGAAGCTGATGAGGTAATATTTTTGATACAATTGTTGTAATATCAGAAACATTAGCCTATTGAATATCAATATTCTGCAAGGTATTGAAGTAGAAATTCCAGTATCTTGACAACACTACACCTCAGTTAATCACTCTGTCCAAATGAACACGTGTGTAGCTTTGTATCACATTGGAAAACAACTATAAAATAAATCATATTTTCAGATTTGAAGACAGATAGAAGATGACATTTTCAAAAAACAAACAGAAACTGCACATCAGGAGAGGAGATAGGAAGCTCAAGAGGTATGATATGGCTCATAACCGAATAGTAAGTGGGTTCATTTATTAATGTTTTTTCTTTTCATTTTTGATGTTTCAAGTCACAAAGCATCACAATCAGGGCTTTACATTTACTTTTTTGATCACCAGTCACTGTGGCTAGTAGATTTCCAACATTACTAGCCACTCGCCATTTTCTCTAGCCACCGTTTTATTGTTTGGAATATATTTTATATAAATAAATGTGACTTTGACATGTAAAATGACTTGATTTAGATGTTGTGTTGTCCACATGCCTCCTCTTTTATTTCACTGTATGTGTGTGTGTTGTGTGTGAGCTTGCTCACTGTGCATGAGCCAATGGGTTTTGTCGCATTGCAATTGGTTTTTATTTCGCATGACTTTTTAGGGCTCAGAATAAAGGTTTTACTAAATTCATCTCTAACCACACTAAAAAGAAAAAAACTTTTTTTTAATAAATTAACATTGAAAAAGATCTATTGTCATGCATCTAAATATGCACAGTAATCTGTCCAGGCTAAAGGTCCCAGATCAGCAGTTACTACACACAAATAGGGAGTTAATCTCATATGAAAATAATGTTATTGTAAAGGATGATGATTAAACTATATTAACAAAATTACTGTAAGCAAAAGAAAGCAGGTAAAACACACCACGAGTGATGATGAGAGGATGATCCTGTGCCTGAGAATAGTTAAAAGGAAAGCAGTGGCTGCTGCTGTTGCTTACAAATATATATATATTTTCTATCTTGAGCTCTTAAAAGCAGCAGGACTGTGGATAGACAAGCATCGTTTTTTGTCTAGTCTTTTCCAAAGAGAACTGAGCGCAAATGAACAAAAAAAAGCGCAAGTAAACGGGAGCGCACGCACTTTTAACATCACCTGTGTGCGCGAGTAGTCATCCTCTCTTACGGTATTCACCTGCTTTGTCTCTCGCAAACAGTTATTGTTTTCAGGCGTGCTGCTTCTCGATTCTAAGATCACATTTGCAGGCATATTGGGCCATCCTTATTGTCGAACCCTGCTTTAAGACAACTACAACGTAAAAATGATTCCAACCTGCCAAAGTGGCTAGTGGAGGCGGCTGTCCAACCCTCCAAATCTGAAATCAGCGGGTGTTAATGTGAAGCCCTGATCACAATGTATTGTTAAAAGAAGGCTGTCAACTCAAACACCCTTTATTTATCCTTAAACCATTTATAATCCTGTTATTAAGGTTAGAGTAGATCACATTACGAAAGTGGGGATATTTTAGTTGGGTGAT